TTTAAACATCAAGCAGTTACATGCTTTAAAAATTATAACTATAATTTCTATTTTTTCTTTCAAATGTTTAATACTTGTAAAAGTATTCATTTGACATTGTGGGTTACCTATAATGCGAAGAGATGGCGCTGCCTTGCAGCTTAAGAATGGCTAGAAGATTGGTCAGTGCATTCGCCCGGATTGCGAAGGGTGCGGATTCGAGTCCAGTCTGCTGCCTGCTCCGCGTGGAATTTTTGCTAATTAATATTTGTTTGAAATTCGATAACCGTTCCCAAAAAGCCTTTTCTTATATATTCTTATTTAAATATTAATTAATTTACAACTATAGGTACAATTTCATAAAAATATAAATTTTTTATCGTTGGGAAAGAAGCAATATGTTCCTCATTTCCTTATTACCGCAAAATCATTGTTAATTTCCTTCCTCATTCCAATTTCCTTTCAAATTGCGTAATATTTTTGGATTTCATGCATTTCAAGATATTAGCGGCTATAACGGTTTACTACTTTACATGAGGTGACACGCATATTGAACCGATTCTTTATAAAATTTAAATCAATCTGCATAATTTAAAATTTTCTCATTTAATATCTTTTAATACGGGAAGCTTTATAATATGTAGTATGTGTTTTGTATAATATAAATAAAGTTTCATGTAACAGGTGATATTATTTATTAAAAAAAACGGTCAAGAGCGAGTCCGTATCGCGTACCAAGGGTTCCGTACTATTTATTTATACAACATTAGAAAAAATTAGCTCCGCGCGCACGAGTTTCAACGACGTCTGCCTTCTACAGGTGAAGTAAGTTCACGATCCGATAAGCGCAGCCGGCAACCTGCCCCCCGCGCGCTCCGCACCAGGAGGCCTACTCTATTTCAACGAAAAACGAAATTTCGATCGAAATTTCGCACGTTCTCTACTCTGTTTCCTTTTCATTTCGAAAATTCGTTCGTCCGAAATATTTTGACAATTAAATTCTCCAACCCTACTCTAATTCACAAAACTTTCGAAGGAAAAGTTGAATTTGACAAATAATTGTTCGAAATTTTAACCTCAAATCGACGAAATGAAAAGTGTTACCTTTTCATTTTCGTTTTGAGATTTTTGTTTTAATTAAGCCTAAAATACTTGCAAGAGTATTTTTAATAATAGCTGCTTAGCTCGAGAAACATTTTTAGCATGTAAAATTAACAAATAAACCATTTTTTTATTAATTTTTGTAATTTCGATACTTCAAAGTATTAAACGACAAATTGAGGTTGACATACAGTAGATTGTATCGACTCTACAAATTAGTCGGCTAACACTGTCAAAGAAGGTTCTTTCAATGTCATCAAAAAATTTGCCGTAAACTATTGTTTCCAAGTAAAAAAAACGTTTTCTTAAAAGTAGAGATAAAAAGAACTCAAAAACATGACTTATTCCATTCGTTCACGAAAACTGTTTATGGTTCCGAAGTTAATGTGCCTGTTCGAAAATGAAATAGAGTAGAAACACTGGCGAAATTTCGTTTGAAATTCGTTCGTTACCGAAATTTCGCCAATGACTCTACTCCATTTCATTTTCGAACACGCACATAAAGTTCGGAATCACAGACAATTTTCGTGAACGAATGGAATGAGTCATGTTTGTGAGTTCTTTCATCTCCTCTTTTTAGATTAGGTACCTGTTTTACTTGGAAACAATATTACTTTACTATAAAATTTTTGATGACATTTAAAGAACCTACTTTGACAGTGTTAGCCGACTAATTTGTAGAGTTGATGCACTTCATTGTATGTCAACCTAAATATGTCGTTTAATACTTTTAAGTATTGGAAATATAATAATTAATTAAAATTAGGTGTATTAGTTAATTTGACATGCTAAAAAATGTTCCTCACGCTAAGTAGCCTTGATTCAAAATACTCTATCAGTCATTTTAGCCTAAATTTAAGTAAAAGACCCAAAACGAAAATGAAAAGGTAACACTTTTCATTTCGTCAATTTGAGGTTAAAATTTCGAACAATTATATGTCAAATTCAACTTTTCGTTTGCAAGTTTTGTGAATTAGAGTAGGCTTGGAGAATTTAATTGTCAAACTATTTTCCGACGAACGAATTTTCGAAATGAAAAGGAAACAGAGTAGGAAACGTGCGAAATTTCGATCGAAATTTAGTTTTTCGTTGAAATAGAGTAGGCCTCCAGCTACCGATCAAGTCACGCCCCGCGCGAATTGTAATTATATTTACTTAGGCACCTATTACAGATTTATTATTAGAAAATAATGATTCACGGTTTACGCATAAGGTTATGAAATTAAAAATGTTTTTTTTTTGTATTTCAGTTGATTGAATGAAATGTAAATTGTGATTTACGATTTATAACGTATAAAAAAAACTGCTTAATCGTCGTTCTGCTCGTTCTAACCAATTTTCGGTGGAATTTTGCATAAAAAAAAAATAAAAAATTAATTAATTTTGGGGTATCAAAATTCGATTTTCAAGATTAAACAAATACAACAGAAAGGTCATTGTTACGGCGTATGTGAATTTAAAATTATATCAGTCTTCATTAATTTGGTTAAAAAGTGATGATGAGGTCAATTGCATTCTGAATCTTCTATATTGTGAAGGGTTAATTCTAATAATTATTCTTGGATTTTTTACCAATCGGTCTTTTTAAAGAGATTGTTGCAAGAAGAAAATAAATGTCCAAAGTAGTGAAATCCAATTAAGTATTAATTTACATTAAAAGTTTGTAATTTATTTTTTTCATGATCTTAATAATAAAATAAATGATAATAAAATAAAATAAATTATTTTCTTCACCATAGTCTGTGTTTCATTATTGGTGGATTCCTTGTATTTACTTGTCAATTGAATAACCCTACTTTTAATAACTAGTCAAATAATGTTACGATATAGGGCATGGTTGATACTAATACCGATAGAGTTGACCAGTCTTAAAAATAATACTCTTTGATTTTCGATCCCGATGACCTTAAACAACTGTTTTACCGTCGAGAATTTTTATTATTATTATTTTATCGATATTTTTGCTAAAGTTCGATATTGTTTTTTTCCGAAACTACTATGACTACAACAAAACGAACAACGACCATTACTTTTTTTTAACGGGTATTTTTGTAACACCTGTATATTATGTTGCATTGTAGTACAGGTGGATATGAGTAGTCATGTTCTCTTAAAACTCTCTTCTGTGGTGTCGTGTGGGGCGGCTCGTTACATTCTCTAAAATATGGTTGAGCGAAGCAATAGCTAGTTCATGCCCGTGAACGGGTGCTGCCAGCGAGGATGAGTCTGCTGTATACTGCGTTGCTATTGACATTGTTATCTATTATACCTACTATTGAATAATCAATACCTAATAGAACGCTGTTTGTATTCATACTTTATGACACGGCAATCAAAATGTGAGTGTTGTATTGATAGCGACATGATTTTTTTGTTAATGTTGCTACTGCTGTTAAATGCTGATGAGTATGATGAGTATCTTGCGCCCATTCTTCTTATCAGAAAGATGTCCTAAATGGGAGGTAGGAAAAAATATTGGACAATTAATAATTTCATTTCACAGACGGACAACAAAGCGATCCTTTAAGGGTGCCGTTTTTTTCTTTTTGTGATGTGGAACCCTAAAAAGAGCAGTTTAGTGTGAAAGACATGATACATGTCCGTGATGCTAGCGTACACACGATCAATATACGGTTTTTCCTTATGCCATTAAATACCGCGTAAATAGTGCCAAATTAGTGTAAAAATAAAAAAAATAGTGCCTTTTATTTAAGAATTAAAGACCATTTTTACTGTGTACGCTAGCATGACGTCAAGCTAGCGTACCCATGGCCGTCCCCAAGAAGGGCATATATTTAAGCAACGAAATTGACACACAAAAATAGTTCGCAAATAGAGCCCTGGCTTTACAAAATTTCATAATCAACACTCTTAAAGGCCCAAAGATATTGAACTAAACATTCTTAGCTGGCGTCAACCTGGCGTACCCATAATAGTTCTCAGAGAAAATGAACTTTTCTCTCTCTCTTTATATGTATAAATAGTGTGTCAAATAGCGTCTCTAACAGTATAAGTATTTTATGTGAACTCGCAGTAAAAAAAAGCAATTAAATTATTTTCATATATGAGGTACAGTCATGTACATAAGTGATAATATTATCGTAGTATAGTAGGTAGGTTGAAATTCTTATATGAATTTATGATTGGTGAATTGAAATAAAATACCTTTTTCCCCGCTCCAGACCCCGCTGCGTACCGCGCCCCCACTTGCGCTCATTGAGGTATAATGTACTACGAACTGAGTATTTGCGCAGGCATGATATTTTAGACACATGCGGTGATGTTTATCCGTCACACAAAATAAATAAAAGGCCAGAAAAAAAATGTAAGAAACACAATATCTCTTAGTGCATAAATTAATTTTGTGTGCAACTGTACTACAATGCATTTGTTCCTAGAATTTAACATCCTCTTTAAGTATTGTTGTGATGCGAATTCACATAAAATACTTTTACTGTGAGAGGCACTATTTGACACACTATTTATACATATAGCATTGAAAACGAGAAAAGCTCATTTTCTATGAGAACTATTACGGGTACGCCAGGTTGACGCCAGCTAAGAACATTTAGTTCAATATCTTTGGTCCTTTAAGTTAAATTTTGTAAAGCCAGGGCACTATTTGCGAAATATTTTTGTGTGTCAATTTCGTTGTTTAAATATATGCCGTTCTTGGGGACGGCCATGGATACGCTAACTTTTTTTATTTTATTTTATTATGGACTATTTTGGCACTATTTACGCAACATTTAATGGCATAACGAAAAACCGTATATTGATCGTGTGTACGCTAGCATTACGGACACGATGTTACGATCTTTAATTTTTCGTATTGGTGTTGGCTGCACAGTTGCTTTGTCTTTTCTAGAGCTTCATAAATTTTATACGAGTGTCACTCAGTCTATTCAGTCTACTCAGTCCACCGCAGGAAGTTGCGTCAGCGCCTGTCCACATCTCCACGTCACGACGTCGTCGTCAACGTGGAACGGTGCGGTAACACGGCACGGTGTTTGGATATAACGTGCAAATTAACGACCAGCAGGCCTATTCACTAACTGCGACTTCCTTGACAGATGGAAGTGATATTCACCGAGCTATTTCGGGATACTTGTACTGAAAAGCATCTATTGACATGCAGTTTTCTCTTTAGTAAAAGACTGTAAATGTCAAAAAGTTAGCCAATAGGCCGGCTGGTTTGCATGTTATGTCAACGTCCCGTGCCGCGTTACCGCACCGTTCCACGCTGACGACTTCATGGCGTGGAGATGTGACAGGCACGCACTTGTCTAATTTTAGACGTTAGTAAAGAAGGTGTTATTTAATAATAAAGACATTAAGCAACACATGTAACGCCTCTTTATTTAATTCCACATTACAACATTCATGTGTTAAATAATTACAACATTGTCGTTTTCTGAATTATAAAATTATACTTAATTTCCTCTATCTAAGATTTTCTTCTCCTTATGATACAGCTTTTAAACGTTTCTCTTACTTATTATCGCAATCAGGGGTAATATTTCTTAATTACTTAAAGTTTTTAGTAACTTCGTATTCTAGAAAAACTACAAGCCTGTCAACTTATTATTTAAATTTACAAGATAAGAGAGGGAAATACTTACTTCGTAGACTGCAGACTGAAGAAGTCACTACACGCAAATGCAGCGTGTGTCTTTAGTCAGCAGTAGATATTGAAAGCCTTTTTCGCTTTTACTTCTATTAGATCTATCTTCGCTGAGAGAATACAAAACGTACACCGACTGACAGAAAATATTGCGCTGACTCGTTATTATCTATGTGCAATACGCGAACGGTGTGTTCGGCGTTCTAAATAAACAATACACGCCTTGCATTGGTTTTAATTATTTACAGTCAGTTTTGTTTCATACTTTTTTCAAGCTTAAACATAATGAACACTTGCGCATTCATTTTAAATGTATATCAGGCATACGAGTACTTTAATCTTATCAAGTTCCATGGTTGCAAGTCCACTTGATAGTATAAGATCCCAAGACTGTCAGACCTTACTTATTTTGTTATGGACAAAATATGGATAATGGATTAGTATCAGTGTGTACAATGAACATATACATACTCGCTTACTTGTGCTATGGGCTAATTTTTAGGGAACAGGTGGCACAGGAAAGTGAAAATATTACTCACCTAACTTACAGTCTGCGGACTAATGCCTCCGTATGTTGAAGATAATTCAAAATAATTCAAAATTCATACTGACACTTTCTGTCTGCGGTTTTTTTGCCAGACACTTTTAATGTCCAAAGCAAAAAAAAACACAAATTTGCTTATTTTAAAATGTTTAATTATTGTAAAAGTCTTCCTTTACGCTATCTATAAGATAACTTTAATGAAACTGTTTTAAATGGCACTTAATTACTATTTCTCACAGTGGAATCCAATTCAGCTAAGGAAATTTTTGGCCCATAAGATTGGTCTGGCTGTTTACAAAATATAATAATAGCCCCCTAAATACCATAGACATTTTTTTAATTATTTATTTATTGTGATAAAACGACGAAAAACAATTACATTTATCACACATTTACATTTTTCAGTTTCACTCATTTTAAATGATTGTCATAATAAATCATACAACGTCATCTTATATATAAAATTCTCGTGTCACAATGTTAGTTACCATACTCCTCCGAAATGGCTTGGCCGATTTTTATGAAATTTTATATTCATATTCAGTAGCTCTGAGAATCGGCTACTTTCTATTTTTCATACCCCTAAGTGATAAGGGTTGTCTATCCTTAACATTTATTTTTTTGGATTTTTTTGTGGCATTAAAAAATACATACAACCCTAAATTTTCACCCTTCTACCACTGATTTTTTATTAATATAATATACTATAAATAGGGTAAGCATTTCAAATAAAAATTATATGTTTTAACAAAAATTAATGTCAATCACTGTCCCCATTGTCAGTGGAACCAGTATTGCTCCATTGATCCGTCAGACTTTCACAATAACATAATAATGCTGACTTGATGGTAGACCAACTTTCAAAAGAAAAGTCAAATTCAGTGTTGGCGTCCCGGAGTGCATTGAGGTTACGCAACAAATATCATGTCACAGACTGTAAGTAAATTTGTGTTTATGCTTTAAACATTTAAAGTGTCTGGCAATAAATACTGCGGACAGAATGTGTCTGGCAGTATCAATTTCATATTGTTTACAATATTCTCTACAACATACATAAGAAGCAGGCCCCAAACTGTAAGTAAAGTGAGTAAAATTTTTACGCGCCTGTTCCACCTGATATCTGAAAATTGACCCACGTCAAAAATTAGTGAGTATGTATACGTTCATTGTACATACTAATACTACTTGATTATCCATCTTTTGTCCATGAGAAAATAAGTAAGGTCTGGCAGTCTTGGGATCTTACTCTATGATAAATATGCGCTTTAATGTTCTAAGTTAATTAGCCATGATTTTTATAAAAATGTTTTTTTACATAACGCATAGGTACCTAACAAGTCGTTTATTTGCATTCACACATAAGAAAAAATACTCAAATTATAATAACGTAGGACTTAGCAAGCAGATGCAGGACTGCAAATTAATTACTATTCAGCTCATCGCAAATCATCAACACTCGATAAAAATAAAACTCTAAATTCATAGCTACGTGAGCTGTCTTCTGCACTAAATCATTATTGTTTTTGGATAATTTATTAAAACATGTAGATATACAAACTAAGGATAATTATCAATTCATCATATTAACTAACTCATTTTCATGCCTCTTTTGGTCACACTCAGAGCTTTCAATTATAGTTGATGAAAAATTGGGTTGCGTACTGACATATTTGTTATTGCTTCCACCCGGCTTGGGTATTAGCAACGACAAATATACTGTAATTTTCTTTGTGATATCAAAATCAATCATAGCTATTGATACCTACATAACATAAAGATAATTACAGTAGGCCCGATTTTGCAATGATTCTCTAAACCTAAATATTTACCCTAATTTGAATAGTGTATATTTATTTTACTCTATACAGAAGGAAAAAGAGAGACTATTGTCAAATTTACTTTTGCGTTTTGAGAATCATACCAGCATTGGGCCCAATACCAAATTTAATCAAACTTAAAAGTTAATTTGAATTCTCCGAATATGGCCGTTTGTGAATCTTCATTAACTTAGTAAGTCAATATACTCGTACATACAGTGAATTATTTAAACGTACCAGGTTATATTGGCTTTTTTTTAGAAACTATAAGGTTCAGTAAATTATAAAGTAAGTATTTAGGTACAGCGTTCACTTTCGTAATTCATATTGTCAACAACAATATCTACTATTTATAGAACTATACAAGTATGAGTAGCACAAAGAGATATTGTTACCTATACAAATATATTTAAGGATTTACAAACCACAGTTAGGGGAAAAGTTGCCATTTTTATCTTATGGCAAAAGTAGGCCTTCGATTTCTGCCCAATTGTGTACCTTGGTACAAATTCTTTTAACAGCTAAATTATACGTAAAGAACAGCTAAATTATATCACGCATCAAAATCACAATGAAAATAGAAATTGGTGGAAATCTGTATTAAAATATTTTGAAAAAGACACTTTTTATCTGTTGAATAAACCACCTTATCTCTATTATGGACTGCAATAAATCTTTAATTGAATTGAATTGGGAATCTGTGAGAGAAAATTAACGTTATTACCTAGATGCAATTTCTCATTGAATGACAGCTCACACTATTGGTTGAAATTCTTTTGTTGACTGTGATTGGTTGTATCGAAAATCACGTGACTGCTTATGTCACATTGTAACTTTGACATTAAATCGCACACAAAAATCGTACACAGCCTCTAAGCCAACCCTTTCAGTAATTTTATATGTATTTCGATGGGTTATAATATAATATTTCGGTATATTCAAGCTTTTGCCGAATAGGTTTATTTTTTATGATATCTATAGCTTATTTTAATTAATTTAAGGATGCCTATTTACCATAAAATACTTGTCTATGTTGCCATTAATATAAACGTATAAACAAAAAAATTATGTGGTAAAAGTGGATAATTAATTGCATTTATATTTTTAAAGAACTGCATATTTTTCTACACATAATGCATGATCAAACTTATGGTACAAGATTGGGCAGAATTGTATGGATAAAAGAATGTATCCTTTTACTTAGTAAAAGTTGCATTGTCACATCTGAAATTGTTTATAATGTGAATAAATAACGAGCGTGGTTCCTTTATTATTATCTTAAACATGAAATCATCGCTGAACGAATATGTAAATATTAAATATTTATAATAATTTATTCACTACAACCTTTTGGTGGATTCCAGTTACATTTCATTTTATAGAAAACACATTGGTTATATAATTAATATCCTTATATCAACATTATCTTACATTTGCATTTCATATTACAAACAAGTTGGTTCCTTTTTACCAGACTGCGCAATGCAATAGCGCGGAGAGCTACGCGCAGAAAGGGTTATAGTGTTAAACGGTCTATACATGTATGTATGTCCCTTTGTGGCACATTATAGACCAAACGCCTGCACCGATTTTGATAATTCATACGTCAACCCAATCGTCTTTATTATGGGAGTGCTACTAAAGATATGATTATAATCGAAATTCAAAATGCGGACCATATAAAAAATAAGTTGACAAAATATGTCGAGTATCATTGTCTAGGTAATCGAAAATCATTTTTCATTTTATGTGACTGTTTAGGATCTACAAAAATTTAAAGTTGTATAATAACCACTTGTGCTTTTAATTTCAATCTTACGTTTGTATGGATCTTTGTTACTCTTTCACTTAAAAAATACTAAATGGATTTTAATGAAACTTTAAAATAATATAACTCATACATACTAATGACATATTTGAGCATAAGATAATAATTTATGATACTATGGAGTGAATCGGTCAAAATACGTGGGACACTCAGAAAGTTTGGAGAAACTAAAAAACCAGTCTGCAGAGTATGCCGAATCTCTTCGTACGTATATTGTCTGTTTTCTTGAATATTTTTTTTCAAGCCGTTTCAGCACAGTTTCTTTGGTGACAGCCGTCGTAAGACGACCACTCCTTTGTACATCCCCCAAAGTAAGACGATCGCGTTTGAACTCGCTACACTAGCGGTAGATTGGTTGCTTTTTAAGGTCTTTCATCCATAAAAGCAGTTCGAAATCGATCAAATGACTCATCAGGTTTTAAGCCACATTTAAAATCCTAAAAAATCATAGCACGAAAATGTTCTCGATGCAGATCCATTTTTAATGAGGCAAGAAAAAATTAATTGGCTCTCGAAAAAATGTAGAGGGAAATTTAAAATTCGAACAGTGGATTCAACTTTTAAATAATCAAAGTTTTCAAAATATTTACAAGTGTCTTATAAATAAAAAATGATGTGGTGTCGTGGGACACCAGGTAGGAACGAAGTTCCTTCGGCTAATGTAGAATCGACACAAATTGCAAACTCGCTTGTGTATGCGAGTGTCGCGTCTGCGCACGTCTCATTTAACGGTTTTATTCCACGCACCTTATTATCATGTCCCGCTAGCGTTCGTAAAGGATGCTAGGCAGGACTGGCCCACAGTTTAGAATAAACTACAATGTCACAATAATCCAGTGATGCACCCCCGTCGCTCTGCCACCTCCTGATAAGTACTCACCTTGTAATCATAATCATGTCTCACAGGCGTTACTGGTCCACAGCTTGATATAACTTCACAAATATCCAGTGTTGGTGTAATATCACAATATTTCAGTGATGCACCCTCGTCGCTCTACCACCCCCTATAACTTCACACATATTCACTGTTGGTGTAATATCACAATATTTCAGTGATGCACCCTCGTCGCTCTACCACCCCCTATAACTTCACACATATTCAGTGTTGGTGTAATATAACAATATTTCAGTGATGCACCCTTGTCGCTCTACCACCCCCTATAACTTCACACATATTCAGTGTTGGTGTAATATCACAATATTTCAGTGATGCACCCTCGTCGCTCTACCACCCCCTATAACTTCACACATATTCAGTGTTGGTGTAGTATCACAATATTTCAGTGATGCACCCTCGTCGCTCTACCACCCCCTATAACTTCACACATATTCAGTGTTGGTGTAATATCACAATATTTCAGTGATGCACCCTCGTCGCTCTACCACCCCCTATAACTTCACACATATTCACTGTTGGTGTAATATAACAATATTTCAGTGATGCACCCTCGTCGCTCTACCACCCCCTATAACTTCACACATATTCAGTGTTGGTGTAATATCACAATATTTCAGTGATGCACCCTCGTCGCTCTACCACCCCCTATAACTTCACACATATTCAGTGTTGGTGTAGTATCACAATATTTCAGTGATGCACCCTCGTCGCTCTACCACCCCCTATGACTTCACACATATTCAGTGTTGGTGTAATATCACAATATTTCAGTGATGCACCCTCGTCGCTCTACCACCCCCTATAACTTCACACATATTCACTGTTGGTGTAATATAACAATATTTCAGTGATGCACCCTCGTCGCTCTACCACCCCCTATAACTTCACACATATTCAGTGTTGGTGTAATATCACAATATTTCAGTGATGCACCCTCGTCGCTCTACCACCCTCTATAACTTCACACATATTCAGTGTTGGTGTAATATCACAATATTTCAGTGATGCACCCTCGTCGCTCTACCACCCCCTATAACTTCACACATATTCAGTGTTGGTGTAATATCACAATATTTCAGTGATGCACCCTTATCGCTCTACCACCCCCTATAACTTCACACATATTCACTGTTGTTGTAGTATCACAATATTTCAGTGATGCACCCTCGTCGCTCTACCACCCAATATGCGCACGTCTCATTTAATGGTTTTATTCCACGCATTTTTTCTTACGGTTTTACTATCACATTTTTTTCAGTTCGGTCGCGCAGCAAAATCCCTATCCCCTCCAAGCCTGCCGTAAGGAACTTCGTCGCGCCTGCGCACGTCTCATTTAACGGTTTTATTCCACGCATTTTTTCTTACGGTTTTACTATCACATTTTTTTCAGTTCGGTCGCGCAGCAAAATCCCTATCCCCTCCAAGCTTGCCGTAAGGAACTTTCGTTCCAAAAATTTTTTTCGCAAAACTTTCTGAGTGGCCTGGTATAACAATAAGTGTCACGTAAGACGGAAAAAAATCACCCGTCTGCGAGCTATTTTGGCTTGTATTGCAAAAACAATAAAAGTTACATAAATATAATGTTGACGAAGATTTTGCTTGTCGATCGTGATAATTACAACTCGCCAGAAGTCACTAAAATCGCGAACTGCGATGTCGTTCAGTCGTACATTTACCTTGGAGCACTGATTTCGGGCAACGGTAGATGTGCAGATGAAGTCAAGCGGCGCATGGCAATCACGAGGACAGCTATGGACAAACATCAAAAAATATGGAGAAACGGGAACATCACAAAAGCCACGAAAACACGACTCGTTAGGGCATTAGTGTTTCTCGCATTCCTCTATGGTGCTGAGACGTGGGCCTTGCGAGAAAGTGAGAAAAAGAAGATAGACGCTCTAGAAATGTGGTGCTGGAGGAAAATGCTTGGCATACAGTAGACACAATTCCGAACCCATGCATCCATCCTCCAAGAACTGTCCATCAAACACCGTCTTTCTTCCATCGTACAAGGTCGTATTCTAACTTTCTTTGGCCACATCTCACTGCGAGAAAATGCGTCAGTGGAACGACTGGTGGTGCTGGGCAAAGTCGAGGGTGTAAGGGCGCGCGGCAGACCACCAATGCGCTGAACTGACCAGATAAAGGCGGCACTGAACGGTCCACTTCACGAGTGCACGAGAAAGGCCGCAGTTCGCGACGAATGGCGGCGTATTGTGAAGCGCGCCACCAACCCTGATGTGACGACCTCTACCACTCTGTCAAGAGTGTAGCGCCGAAGAAGAAGACATATAATGTATAGTTCTACAAAAAAAGTAAATTTAAAAAAAAATCACTGCTTTTATATTACTGCATATAAAAACTGCTAAGAAAAAAGCCAGTAGTCTATAATTCTGTTAAGGAAGGAACTAAGCTAATTTGATAGTCGGGACACATTACATATTTAATTTTTTTTTATCATTAATGGGTTCCGACTGTTAATGTAACTTAGTTCCTTACTTAAAAGAATTATAGAGCACTGGACTTCCTTTTTTCTGTTCAGTGTTACTTGGAGTAATATATGTAATTTGAATTCTTATTAGCAGTCAGGTTTTCGACTTTTTTAAATTAGGTAAATTGAGTATATCAAAAAACCGAACGACCCGATATTGTATTTATATAAAAAAAGGTTAGTTTTATTATAAAAATGCAATATCATTGATATACAATCAAATATTTATACTGTGTATAATTTGCGCTAAGATTTTCCTTTTCATATCTATATCTCTATAATATTTTTTCACATCTAAGCTTTTAGTACGTATATTGACGGTTTTTTTATTTATCAATGATATGGAAATAATAATTTTAACAAAATTTAGTAATATTTTATTACTACTATCTCACACACAACTGTTTCATTTGTTGTAAATCATTTATGTAAGTTAAGTTTGATCGGCTTAGGCTATAGTTGTTACAAGTCCTAAGTACAAAATAAATAGTACAGAAGGCAATTCACATTCAAAGTGCGCTCGAGCAACGCAAGCAACACACACATAGACACCGCTCACGGAAACGATATTGCCTGCTTGGGACCAGTGCCAGCGCGAGTTCCATCCACTTGAGACACACGTCTGTGAAATATATTGTAATGTGAATGGAGTAACATAAAAGGCTATAATAACTGTTCAGTGACTGTTGTTTGAATTATTGAACAGTAATAAAACGGTGAATTTTCTTTTTTCATTTTAACGATAACATTTAAATTTAGTTATTATTGATGTATATTCCCATTCTTCCTGTTTCATTCTTAACAATAAATCTAACAACTGTGTACGTACAAGTGTTGTAAAAGGAAGTAATCTGGCAACGTTGGTTTGACATTTGATGTAGTAACTAGTTAATTAACTATTCTGTCTGTGGCTGGAATGAATAAAAAGTGCTCTTGAGATAGTCGGTGTTTTGTTGGTGAAACTCCTGTATTTTTTTTTGTGCACAATGTTGATCATAATATTCTTAAATCCTAGCGCGACCGCCGCACGTAGGTATGAAAAATAAAGTACACAAACAGAGTCCCTTCTGTACTATCTATTTTGTGGTCTAAGTCCTTTCGCGCTCAGTACAAACGCAAACTACAACAGCCATTAACTGAAATCCAACCTAGTCTTGGGTTGCTGATCTTAGGTACTTTAATCAGTTGAAAAGTAATCGAACTTAGAACTAAGACATGCAAACTAAAACATGGGTATTATTTCTCATACAGTTCTTAATAAAAACACGAAATAACATAATTACCTTGATGCTTAAATTACATGAATTAGTAATTGCGCTTTAGTATTATAACATTTTCATTAAGTTATTGTTTTAACGCAAATCAAATATTGATTAAACATTTCTTGTTGATGATGTTTCTTTTTTTATAACTATTTTATAACATGGCGGGGCGTATTCCTTCTTGGTAACAACACTATTAATCTACCTAATCGTACTTAACCCTATATACAATAATGCAATTAATATTCAGCATTTAATTAAAACTTCACGTAGGTACCATAATTGCCGAGGTGCTGATTTCTGAAAACCAAAATGTCGGCGATTATTGTTTTCATCATTTCATGACCCGCAATATCTGTTACTATACTCTAACTTTACCTGGTCGAATCTTAAGCATCTAATCTTTTAGATTTCTAACAAATGAATGAATCGTCCTAAATCATCTTTTTTACTTATAAATACATTATGCTTTATTAAAATAAAAATGACACTTTATAATCTTGGCGGATACAATATCATGCCGTACAGAGCTGTTAGCAGCGGGGTGGTGAGCGCCTGCTGACTGCACGCCGCCACTTCTTGAGCCAGCACCCTGGCCATCCGTCATAGCAGCATGCTGGCTGACTTTAGTAAAACTTAACGTACCGTCAAACACGCTAACACTGTCTTCAAGGATATCCTTGCCATTTTAGCAATTTATAAAGAAATCTTTGATGCGAAAAATATCTTAATATTATGGCAAAGTTTATTGGCTTTAGGCTAACCTACACCGAGATGCTGATTACCGAATACCAACGTCGACGTATTTCTGTTTTCATCATATCATGATCCAGAATATCACTATATTATAACCTTATCTGGTCGAATCAATAATTTGTCCAAATTCTATTATTTTTAACAATAATATGCTTATAAAAATTTAAACCGTCATTTTACAATCTTGGCGGATACAATATCATGCCATATAGAGCTGTCAGTAGCGGCGTAGTAAGCGGCGGTGGTGGTGCTGAGCAGTAGGCGCGCGGCTGTTGACTGCACGCCGCCACGTCTTGAGCGAGGACCCAGGCCATCCGCCTGAGCAGCGTGCTGGCTGAGTTTGAGCAAGACCGCCCCGCGTGACCTACGCACATGATGAACGCGTCTCTTGCACTGCAACAAGAAATGGACATGACCTTTCCATATGTTACCGCACGCACAATAAAATAAATCTGGAACCCTAAAACAGCCATATTTTTTTTTGTGTACTTATCTACATAAAAAATATGCTATTAAAAATGCTTATTCCTTGACTTTCTGGCCCTTTTAAGTTCCATGATCATAAATCAGTCAAGTCTAGTGTATTTAAACCATCATCATCATCAGCCTATTAATCATCTTTCTATTGGGACACATAAATCTAATATATAATAAAATTCTCGTGTCGCGGTGTGCGTAATTGAACTACTCCCAAACGGCTCGACCGATTTTCATGAAATTTTATATGCATATTCAGTAGGTCTGAGAATCGAAAAAAGGCTTTTATTTTCATCCCCCTAAATGTAAAGGGTGAAATAATACTGTTAAAAATTTTTTTTGGACATTTTTTTATTTTATATTTTTATGATACATCATACAAAAATACATACAACCCTAAATTTTCACCCTTCTACCACACACCCCTATTTTTTATGGCGGTACAAAATTCGCTAGGACAGCTAGTTAACATATACATTAATTTATATCCGTATATTATTAGGTACCTAAGTATGCTATAATATTTTTTTTAAGTTCCATGATCTAAATACTTCACTGTCTTGTGTAAATCATCATCATCATTTTTAACCTATTAATCACCCCTTTGGTGAGACACATAAAAAAAACACATAAATTATCTTAAAAATTAATTTAAACCCGTACCTATATAATTCGGTAAGTATGTTGAATTATATTAATATCAAAGAATAGTTTTATAATACGCCATGCAAATACGTCTTTCTTCTCATTAAATATGTTACGCTCAAAGATCGAAAACGCTCAGTGAGCGGAAAAATGGCTCACAACGCGTTGTGGTCACAGTAAAACATCCACAGGACGAAATTCGTATTATGGCTCATATGAAAACGCGCACGACGCGTTGTGGCAATCACAGAAAGACCAAATAGCGAAATTCGTGTCGTGGCTGACATGCTATTCGATCTCAACGCGTTGTGGCAATGAAGAAAAGCCATGACGCGTTCTGAGCATTTATTGTTTTAACCATATCACGACGGACAAGTTGTAAGTTGATAGAAGACGTAAATAAAGTTTCGTGCATTAACCCGTAAAACTAGTTTTATTTATTAACATTTGTGAGGTGACCTCAACTTCGTCATTAACACTTCGCTCGGCATCTATGTTATCATCTGTTATTATCTCTTTACTGTGCCTATATGAACACAACTTTCGACGCTCAACGTAACGTAGCTGTGGTGCAGTCAGGAAAGCGTTTGCTATATCCTCAAAAGGTCTACAGTTCGTATCCCGTCGGCCGACAGCTTTTTTTTTATGTTATATTATAGTTTATATACATTTTCTTTTCTTTTTGTTTGTCTTTACTTTTATTTTACTTTAATTATAACCGAAAATGCCGAAAAATTTAGAAACTTGTGCAGGATGCCGAACAAAGTTGGTGGGTAAGGATTTTTTGGTATGTATATTGTGCAAACAAAAATTTGAATTGTTTTGTGCAAATTTGTCGGGACAGCGCTTTAAATCGATGGACAGCAATTGCAAAGAAAACTGGAAATGTCAAGCATGTATTATGAAGCTACCTAAAACTGACAATAGCAACACGCCAGTAAGATCTGAGCCACCGGGTTTGACATCTGAGCGGACAACTGGAACAACTATGGAGGGAATGACTATGTTTTCAATGCCGACATCCGTTACGAAGGAGGACTTATGAAATATATTTAAGGAGGAATTTGGCATTATGCGCCGTTCACTTTTTCAGGAACTCCGTCAAGCTATAACAACTATGATAAATGATGAACTTATTGCTATGCAGAAAAATATTTCTACTCTAGAAGACAGCATGCAATTTATAAACCAGGAATTTGAACTTACAAAGAAGTTGTTTACCAACCAGGAGGAAACTGTGCGTAGCCTGCAGGATCACAATACTCAGTTATCATCTGCCGTACGTGAGCTGACTAGTAGACTGCAAACAATAGAGCAAGCTAGCAGGTCGTGCAATTTCGAAATACAGTGCGTGCCTGAACACAAGGGTGAAAATTTAATGACTACTGTGGATCAACTTTGCAAAGTCGTACAGTGTAATTCCGTAAAACAGGAGGACATTCACCATTGCACGCGTGTGGCTAAGATTGATAAGGACAGTGCTCGACCACGTACAATAGTCGTGAAAATGGCTACACCTTTGCTAAGGGACACGCTTTTGGCAAGCGTTATAAAATTCAACAAAGCGAACGCCAACGACAGACTTAATACCAGTCACTTAGGCATGGCCGGCCGGAAGCAACCCATATGGGTTGCGTTTGCGGGTGATAGATGCTCAGTAACATATATATGTTACTGAGCATCTATCACCCGCAAATAAGAAGTTACACGCAGCGGCCCGACATTTAGCCAAGGACAAGGGTTATAAGTTTGTTTGAACCAGACAAGGAAGAATTTTCATGCGCAAAACAGAAACATCCGAATTCATTTATGTTAAGGATCATGGTATACTAGATAAACTCTCTTAGAGACACTGCCCTTAGAAGACATTTTTTTTGTAAGAATTAGAAATTATTAATTGTTAAAATGACCCTTAACATTTATTACCAAAACGTGAGAGGTGTGCGCACCAAAACTCACGATTTTTACTGTAGTATTGCATGTTCAAATTATGATATAGTGATTCTTTCGGAAACCTGGTTGAACAGTAGTATATTTGATAATGAATTGTTTGATAATCGCTATTTATTATATAGGCGTGATCGTGAGAGTAGTGGTTTTCATAACCATAAAGAAGGAGACGGTGTACTTATGGCTGTGTCTAGTAAATTATGTTCCACTCGATTGGCGATGTGCGAAACCTTGTGTGAGGACCTGTGGGTTAAAGTAGAACTACCCAATAATATTACTATCAATTTCTGTATTGTATATCTTCCACCCCCGGTCAAGCAGAATGTTTTTGATAACTTTGTAAACAATTTTAATACAGTATCCGAGGTCATGGAAAATGTTGTAATTGTAGGTGACTTTAATATGAGCTTTGTTAGTTGGGCTCTGCCTGGTTCTGACCAATTGCCAATTAATAAAGGATCTGGTTTAGGTCAGCAGTTGTTGGATTTTGTTACCATTAATAATTTATGTCAGTATAATCACATTGCAAACAATAAAAATAAGGTCCTAGATTTAGTTCTAAGTAATGTATCTGAAATTGTTGTTGGGGCCGCTGGTGATCCTTTGGTTAATATCGATCCACTTCATGTGCCGTTGGAAATATCGATGCGTATTGCTAATCCTGTCCTTCTCAGCCAAAACACTTTGACTGAAAAGTACAATTTCTTTAAAGGTGATTACGATGAAATCATTGCGCAGCTAGAAAGGCAGGACTGGGTGGGTGAATTGACTGGATGCAAAGATGTTAAATAAATTTTATATTATTTTAAATGACATTATCGCTAGGTATGTTCCTAAATGTAAATTTCGCACTGCAAAGTATCCTCATTGGTTTTCTAGTGACCTCATAAAACTCAATAAAGAAAGAAGAAAGGTATATAATAAATACAAATTATACAAAAACCCTTTAGATGAAATTTCTTTAAAACTATTGACTAAACGTTGTAAACATTTGGCAACTTATTGTTACAATAACTACATAGATAAAATAGAAGACAGCATTAAGTGCAATCCTAAATATTTTTGGTCGTTTACTAAGCAAAACAACAATTCCTCAAATCAATATCCGGACAAAATGACACTTAATGATGTAACGGCAACCGATAGTGTTGACATCTGTAATTTATTTGCTTCTCAATTTACTAGCACATTTTCTAAGGGGTCTGACTCTGATGTTTCTTGTGATGAATCGCAAAATGACTCTAATAACCTAAGCGCATTATATTTACCACGCATTACAATTTTAAAGTTTTTAAAGAGACTTGATCAGAGTAAGGGTGCTGGACCTGATGGTATACTAGCATATTTCGTAAAACGATGTTCCAAGACTTTGAGCTGGCCATTATACTTAATTTATAACGCCTCCTTGAAAGACGGAGTGTTCCCTTCACTTTGGAAGACCACAAAAGTCGTCCCAATACATGAAAAAGGGAGCCGCGACTTAGTGTCTAATATAGACCTATATCGGTTCTCTCAGTTTTTGCTAAAGTATTCGAGGGATTGGTCTTCCCATTTTAACGGCATCATTCGAAGCAAATATTACATGATAACCAGCATGGGTTTATACCAACTAGATCCCCAAACACTAACTTAGTTACCTATAATGATTATCTCCTCAAAGCTGTTGATGCTGGGCTTGAAGTGGATGCCATGTATGTTGATTTTTCTAAGGCTTTTGATAGGGTGTGTCACAGTATTCTATTAAAGAAGCTAAAACGATATGGTATCGATGGCCAATTGCTTTGTTGGTTTAAAAGCTATTTACAGGAACGCTCGCAGTACGTTGTGGTTAAAGGTTACCGCTCTACTGAATATTTAGCCAGCTCAGGCGTTCCACAGGGCTCTATCTTGGGTCCTTGGCTTTTCAATCTTTTTGTGAACGACATCAGCGCTGTACTAAGTAGCAGCAAGGTATTTCTCTTTGCCGACGACCTGAAATTCTGCCGTGTTATAAACGGTTTATCTGATAACACTAAATTGCAAAGCGATATTTGCAATTTATTGGACTGGTGCATACAAAATGGCATGTTACTTAATTATGAAAAATGTCATCACATTAAATTCTCTCGTAAAATTAATGAATACAATACAGAATACTTTATTGACGGCAGGGTGCTACAAAGATGTGATCTATGTGACGTGACCTAGGCGTCACATTTGATTCTAAACTTACATTTATTCCACACATTGATGCAGTTATATCTAAGGCTTCAAGAATGTTGGGATTTGTATTGCGAAATGGCAAGTTTTTCAGGAGACCTAATACTAAAATTACATTGTAC